GGGTGGGTGGGTGGGGTGGGGGTCCGGGGTGCTCCCCCTCCTCCCCTACCGCTCTTGTCTGGGTTCTTCCAGTAATGGAGGCACAGCAGAGATCTTCACGGTGTTTGCCAAGACGCCCATAAAAAACGTCACCACCGGAGAGGTGGCCGACAAGATCTCGGCCTTCATTGTGGAGCGATCCTTTGGGGGAGTGACCAGGTGAGAGCCCCCCCCCCTCTCCGTGGGCTGGGAAGGGACGGACTCCCCAGCCCCTCCCTCTGCCTTCTGGGTGGCCCCGGGGCGGGGGGGGGGCAGGCTAAGACAACTCCCCGGCTGTCTCCGGGCTCTGCTCTCCCTGCGCTCCCCAGGGGTTCCTCTAATCCCAAGCTGTTCCTTTGGGCCCAAATGGGTCTGCGAGGACCGTCCCTGCCAGAGGGGGAGTTACACACCCTGAGCACCCAATGCCCGTGTGGCTGTTTAAAGGTTCTGCCTAGTCGCCGTGCCTGCCTGCTCTGCTAGCAAGGCTACAGTAGGACCGTCCCCTGCCGCTTGACACATTCGAGCGGTTGGGCTTCTCTGCGGCTGCCCCTCCACAGCACCACCCTTCGGACAGCGAGACTGAGCAGGAGTGGCATTTCTCCAAGGATCAGACTTGGGAGCGTTTAAAATACAAGTTTAATGTATGATGGGAGATACTACACATGTTCTGTCCACCACGCCTTTCATGCTGAGAGCAAGGGAACAAAGAAAAGGTGGAAGCGGGCAGTGCCGCCCCCTTTCTCTGCACTGGGTACGGATCCTAAAGGACAGGACAGGCCAGGGTGACTGGGAGTGGCAGACGTTTCTCATTGCTGGGATTCCCCCCCCCCCCATCATCCCTGGCCACGTGGGCAAGGTGGAGGAGCCCTTGGGTGAAGAGTGTAGCCCTCCATGGTTCCTGTCGACCCAGAGAGCTGTCCAAAACTGAAGAGGGGAGAGTGACCTCCTTTGTGTCCTGAGTTTTTATAACCTACCTGTGTGGGTGGGGGGGCATCCCACGTGGGGGAATGTAAACCGCCCTCCCCCACTGGCCAGGGGGTGGTCTTCCCTAGCAGCAAGATTCCTCAGCAGCCTGTGGCCGGCAACCATCCTCCTCCTGCCCCTGGGGCTACCAGCTGCTCCCCCCCCCCGGGGAGGGGGGGCAGAAGACCAGAGAGGGGGAGGGGCTGCTGTGGGCTGGAGCAGTCCCAGGAGAAAAGGCCACGGCAGAATCGGGCTGCAGGGCTGGCGTTTTCAGGAGGGATGGCTCGGAATCTCGCATCAGTGGCCCCCTGACTCTGTCTTGGGTGGAGAGCGCCTCTCCCGAGTGCCTGTGTCGGAGCCCATTTCCTCTCCACAGCCAGCCCACCCGCCCGCCCGCCCCTGCTGGTCTGCCACTCAACTCCCACCTGGGAGGGGGCAGGCTTGCGCCCTGGGACCTTCTGTGGCAGCAGAGCGGGAGTCTGCCTCCTTTCACTTCTGCGCCCTCCCCCCCCCAGGGGCCTCCTTCCCACACACCGCCCAGGAGCTCCCCCTTGCAAGGAGGGGACCGACCGACCGAGGGCACAAGGGCACGAAGGGAGCCGAGAGCTGGCTCAAGGAGGCCCCCGGCCCCTGGCGAGATAAAGGGCCTGGCGGGATCCAAGCCAAGGGACAGAAGGCGGCACCTGCTTTTGCAGGCGGGAGGGCTCCGGTTCAGTCCCCGGCAGCGTCTCCAGGATCCGGCTGGAGGTGATGGGAAAGACCTGAGACCCCCCGTTGGGGGGGGGAGGGGGGAGGCGCTGCCAGTCAGACAAGGTGAGGCGCCTCGATATCTGCCTGCCTGCCTGCCAGTGTGCCTCGGAAGGGGGCGGCTTCAGGTGGGCCAGTGGCGGGGGGGGGCTCTTTGTGAGGGGCTCTCTTCTGCCTCGCCAGCGGCCCCCCCGAGAAGAAGATGGGGATCAAATGCTCGAACACGGCGGAGGTGCATTTCGACAGCGTGAAGGTGCCGGCAGAGAACCTGCTGGGGGGGCCGGGCAGAGGGTTCAAGGTGGCCATGGCCATCCTCAACAACGGGCGCTTCGGCATGGCCTCGGCCCTGGCAGGCACCATGCGGGGCATCCTCCTCAAGGCGGTAGGTGTGCCCTGAGCAAGTGGGGGGGGGAGGGGGAGGGGGGG